AGGCCGCCGTGGAGCATTCCATAGACCTTGGACTGGATGACCCCGCATTCCTCATGGCCAGTGCCCTGCTCGCCCTTGGCCTGCTGCACGAGAGCCGCGGCCAGATACCTGCCGCGCGCGCCGCACTCGCCGCCGCCCTCCGGGTGTTCCCGGCCTTCATCGCCGCCCGCGCCGCCGCGGCACGTCTGATGGTGGCCGATGCGGCGTCAGACGCTGAGCTGTCAGAGGCGGAGGCGGCGCTGCTGCAGGCTGTGGAAGTCGCAGAGGCGCTCGCGGCGGCGGAGGGCGGGCTGGTCGCTGCCAGCAACAAGGCGTGCGCGCGCGAGGTCGAGGCCGGCGTGGGGGCGCGAGGGGCGCTGGCGATGCTGCTGTGCCAGGCGGGGCGGGGCGCAGAGGCAAAGACTCACCTGAAGGAGCTTGGTTTCTCTTGGCGGCTTGGCAGCCCAGTGCTGTGTTATCCAATAAGCGGCGGCGGCAGCAGCAGCCCAGCAGGCCGCGGAGAGGCCGCAGGCGGCCGCGGGGAAGCTTGCGGGCAGCTGCCGCTCGCGGTGCTGGACGGCGCGCTCCCGTCCCCGCTGCTGCGGCAGCTGCAGCGCGCGTTTGCGCCCGCGGCGCCGTTTTGGTCGGAGCATGGGTATGGCCCAAGGCAGGGCTACTTCAGCTATATGTTCCCACTGGTGGGTGCTTAGTCAGGGCAGTTGGTGGGCACAGGGTGCGTTTTCAGGGGGGGGGAAGGGTCACAACAGGCAACACAACCTGGTCGTGCAGATGTGAGCGATCCTGCTGGGCTGGACACCGCGTGAGCGATCGTGCCTGCTCTCCTTTTGCAAAGCATGCATGCGCTCTTACCAATCACACGTTGTGCAAGGCACCGCATCGCACACATGGCGCAACGAGACCGATGGGTCGAAGCCTGGTGGTCGTGCGAGTGCGTGTGTGCCGCGTACTCTCCCACCGCAGGCGGGTGACCAGGCCGCCGACTCCAGTCTCGGCCAGCTGGCGCGGCACCTGCGCTCGCTGGCGCTGCCGCACTTCCCGGCGGTGGCAGAGGCGCGCTACGCAGAGTGGTGGGCGCACTGCCGACGCCACAACTCGGGTGCGTGCGTGCTCGGGTCTGCTGGGGTAGCCACACTCGCGCTCGGGCGCATGGTTCCGAAGCTTGCGGCTCTTCGGGGCCTCTGCCATTTGCTCTCAGCCTGCACACAAGCTCCAAAGCGCGAGCTTCCTGTTGGCAGGACGAAGCAATGTCAACGACCAATATCTGCAACTGCAACAGCTAGCATTCTGCCCTCCGTGTTGCAATCCTTGCTGCTTCTTTGCTGCCTGGCAGTTGTAGCCAACGCCTGCCACCCTGCTCCACCTTCTCCTTTCTACTGCACAGGCCACCAGCTGCACTTCGACTCTGATGACGAGGGGGTCGGCGGCATACGCAACCCCATCATATCGACCGTCTGCTATCTGTCCTCATCACGCTCGACCGACAGCGGCGGCAGCAGCGGCAGCCGCGGCAGCCGCACCGGCACGACAGACGGCGACGGTAGCAGCAGTGAAGGTGGTGCCTTTGTGGGCGGCCCAACGCTGGTGACCGACCAGCTGCTGGGCGGCCCGCTCGCCACGAGGGGGTGGCTGGCCACGCCTGCCGTGAACAGGGTGACTTTCTTCGACGGCGGCGTCCTGCACGGTGGGTCCGCGCTGCTGACGAGGGTGGGCTCCAGGGCGCCATGCTCGGTGGCTCGAGGACTGGTCAGCGGCATTGTAGACAAGGGGATGAGGCGGGCTGCCCAGCAGCTCCATACTGCTGGCGTATTATGCATGTGGTGCGTACGGCGAGTTGAGGATGCAAGCTTCGACCCGCCGGCGGTTCCACCTTTGTCGATCAGGCGTCGTCCCGGGCCGCGGCGCGAGCTCCGACCCGTTCGCGCGGCGCTGCACACTGATGGTGGCGTTTTGGCGGGAGCTGCGCACCCGCTTGCCCGCGGACGGCCAGCTCGGGGCCGCCATGCCCATGCCGGCGCCACGGCTGCGTGAGCCGTGCGCCGCCACAAGCAAAGGGGGGAAGCGGCCGCGCGAGGACCCGCAGCAGCGTGCGGAGCCGCCGGCAGCAGCGGCAGCGGATGCTGCGGCAGGCGACGAGGCAGCAGAGGCCCAGAAGGCGGGTGAGGCGGCCTGGATCAGCATGCTGGAGCCCTTGCCTGGGGAGGGGGCGTGGCTGGCGCAGGTGGCGCCGACGCCCGTGACGCCGACGCCTGTGGCGGCCGTGTGGGAGCCGGTGGACCCGGGGCGGGCCGGCAGGGCGCCTTCTTATTCGGCCTGCTTCCAGGGGTTCTGACGTGGCAGGACTGCGTGTCAGTGCATCCCGCACCCATCCCCCCCGCCCTGCCTCACCTTAACCCATCGACAAAAGCCAACATCCTCTGTTGCATTGTGTTGCTGTTTGAACGGTCTGCGGCTGAGATATTAAGGACCGTGCATCCATTTCTTGGGTGCATCGGTGAGGTGGGCGTGAGTGCAGATGCCCAAGGGCACAGCGGGTTGCACCCGTGATTACAACAGCGAAGCCCAGCGGCGCCCTTTGCTCCTCCTTCACAATGTGGACACATTGTGCTAGGAGGAGGTTAAACCAACGGCAAGCTGTGAAGCATGTGATGCCGCCAAAATTGCAGGCAGCTAGCGTCAGTGCCTCAAAGGCACGTGGAGTATGCTGTGAACAACCAAATATGACAAATTGGCAAGTTTGCCACGCTGTACTTTTCTGTCACCGTTCCAGCACAAGAACGTGTCAGACCAGCAGTCCGTCAGTCTTGCAGCAACTATGAAGGTCGGTCAAAGTCAGTCAAACGGGCCGCGGGCAGCCCATGCATGAGTAACACAACAATGGGCTGCGCGCCCCCTACGTGCCTCCGCCACCGCCATCCAGCAAGCGCCTGAATTCCCGCAGCTCAGTCAGCAGCGCTGCCCGCTGCTCTCGCCGCCGGCCGTCGCCGCCCCCACCCCCGGCGCCGCCCCGCTCCGCCACGCCGCTGCCAGCGCCGCCAGCAGGTTGCAGTGCGGTAGATCGAGGGCACGGAGCAGCTGCGGGCCCTGCTGATGGTCTGTGGCCCTCGCCGCTCCCACTGCTGCTGCATTGCTGCACGGCACCCGCAGCCGGCCGGCCGCCTGGGCGGGCCAGCTCCGCGGCAGGGGCGGCGCTATGGACTGCGTGGATGGCCCTGAGATCACGCCTTGCCGCGCCCGGGCCCATGCGGCCATCCACGCGCGGTTCCCTTGAAGGCGCCGCGGACAGCGCCGCCAATGCTGGCTGCGACCGTGCCTCAGAGCTCTGCATCGCCGAGCTAGGCCCGTTGGCGGCGCCACACGCGCCCCGCACGTCGCCTGCGCCGGCAGCTGATTGCCCGATCCCGTGTGGCTGGCACGCTGCAAGCCGCTCCTGCAGCAGCTGCAGCCCGCGCGCCAGCCGCCGGCAGTGCCGGTCCACGCGCCGCGCGTCGGCCGCGGCCCCGACGGCGCCGGCGCTGCTGCCGCCGCCGCTGCCGTCGCTGCTGCTGCCGGCGCGCGGCGCGCCGGAGTCCGTCGGTCCCGGCGGCTGCAGGGAGTCGCAGGTTTTGTGCAGCCGCGAGAGCAGCAGCTCGATTTCCTCCCAGTGCCGCACCACCGCCTGAGCTAGGCCGCGCGGCAAGGTCCCGGCGCTGCCACAGCCGCCTGCGCAAGCGGGGTCATCGCCGCCGCCCGGGGCCGCCGCAGCCGCAGCCGCGTGCAGCGCCCCGAGCAGCGAAAGCGCGCGTACGCGCACGGCGCGGCCGCCGGCGCGGAAGTCGCCCGTCAGCTTTTCGGCGGCCGCCACCAGAGCCGCGTGGCGCGTTGCGATGGCGCGCACCTCCGACTGCAGCTGCTGCGCGGCTGTCGCGAGCGCGCCAGCGGCGACGGCGAGGTCTGTGGGTGAGAGGCGCTGGCCGCCTGACGCCATCGCTGGCTGCTGCTGCTGCTGCTGCTGCTGCTGCTGCTGCTGCTGCTGCTGCTGCAGCTGTGAGCCGGAGCTCTCCGTTTGCGCACCACTGCTGACCGTAGACGGCGCTGTCGCCGCGGCCGTGGCGGCTGCTGCCTGCGCCGCCTCAACCGCCGCCGCACGCTCTGCCTCCCGCCGTCCCCGCAGCTCCAGCACCTCTGCCCCCAAAGCCGCCACCTCAGCCCGCAGCCGGCGCCCATCGGCCTCGAGGGCCCGCGCCTCGGCCCGCAGCTGCTCCACAGTTTCCTTGCGGGCCTCAAGCTCAGCCTGCAGCTCCGCCCGCTCCCGCCGCACCACCTCGGCCGCGCGCCGCGCCGCCCCATGCTCGTCCTCCTCGCGCTGACGGCTGGCCTGCAACTGCTGCAGGAGGAGCTGCTCCCCGCGGCACGCGGCCTGCAGGCGCGCCAGCTCGCCCTCTGCCTTGGCGGCCTGCGGAGCGTCAAGAATAAGGGGCCGGTAGGCCAGGTCTGATGCAGGCGTCTTGCTGCAAGTGCCGTGTGCCTGGCTGCAATGGCTGCGAAATGCTACATCAACCTCTCCCTTGTGCAGGCACAACCCCAAAGCCAAGTATAGAACGAAGCTGCTGCACTGGCACCGCCCAGCATCCATCGTGTGCTGATACCGACAAAAATCACCCACCTCTTCAGACTGCTCCTGCATGCGCAGCATGATGGCATGCTGCAGCTCAGTCTGCCGCTGCAGCTCCGCCCACGCGCGCACCGGCCCCGCCGCGCGCGCGCTGTCATCAGCCTCGCCGCCGCCGCCAACGCCCGCGTGCTGGTCGCGCCTCATGGCGCGGATGGCGTCCTCTTGCTGTTGCACCTGCACCTCCAGATGCGCGTACGCTTCCTGCAGAAGCTTCCAGGCGCCTGCCGCGTCACCGGCCGGCCCCGCTGCGGCTTCGGCCAACGCCACCATCGCGCCGGTGCTGCGGCTCTGCTGCTTTTCGGCAAGGGCGCCCTCTGCCCCTCTGCCTCCGCCGCTGCTGCTGCTAACATTGGCGTCTCGAACAACGTCCAGAGGTGTGGGTGGAGCGCCCAGCTGCAGGTCTGTTTGTGTTTGCGTCTGGATGTGCCGGCGCTCCTGGTATGCCTGCAGCTGCAGCCGCAGCTGCCCCGCCTCCTTCGCTTGCAGCCGCCAGCTCGCCGCCGCCGCCTCGGCCTCTGCAGCCCTAGCCATTGCGGCCTGCAACTCACTCCTTGCGGCCTGGGCCGTCACGAGGCTGGCGCGCACCCGCTCCTCAGACTGGCCCAACTCCGCTTTAACCTTGGCCAGCTGCAAATCCGCATCTGCCAGCTGCCTCTCAAGCTGCCGCCGCCGCGCCTCGGCCGCGTCCAGCCCCGCCGCTGCGCGGCTGGGCTCCCCTGACAACCACAGCCTCAGGCGCCCAACCAGCTCCTGGTCTGCGCCTTCCCTGCACGCACAGCCCGGGCTGGCCGCCACCCCGTCAGCTCCCGCCTCCCGCTCGCCCGCGCCGACGCGCTCGGCCGCGCGGCCGAGCGCGTCGGCCACGTCCCCGCGCAGGGCGTCGAGCGCCGCGGCCGCCGCCGCGGCCCTATCCTCGGACTCGTCCAGCTCCTCTTGGACCGCCATCAGCTCCGAGGTCGACTCTGCAATTTGCTGGAGGAGCGCCTCCGCAGCCGCCTCGTGTGCGCCCAGCGCGGCGGCGGCCTCCTGCAGCACGCCCTGCAGCGCGGCGGCAAGGTGGAGAGCGTCCAGCAGCTGCACGTGCTGCTGCTGCTGCTGCTCCTGCGGCTCCTCCTCCTGCTCCTCCTGCTGCTCCTCCTGCTGCTCCTGCTGCTGCTGCTGCTCCTGCTGCTCCTGCTGCGGCTGCTGCTGCTGCTGGCCACCATGCGCTGCCCAGGGCTCCTGGTCTTGGCACCGCTGAGGTGCCACATCCGCACCGCCCCCGCCGGCGCCGCCGTCCCCGGCAGGCAAAGCGCCCGCCACCGTGGCAACTGCCCGCAGCTTTGCCACCTCGACGCGCAGCTGCGCGGAAGCCGCCTGCTGCTGCTGCAGCAGCTGCTCGAGCTGTGCAGACTCCTGCTCCGCCCACTGCAGTTGCTGCGCGGAGCGAGCGGCCGTGGACTGCGCAGCCTGCAGTTCACGCTGCAGGTAAACAGTGCGCGCCTCCAGATCGTCTGCGCGCCGCCGCAGCGCCTCGACCTCACCGCTCAATGCCGAAGATGCTGCCGCAGTTGGCAGTGGCTCCTGTGTCGCGATCGTGGCCACGGGGCTGCCCTTGTGAGCGTGCCCACCACCGAAGCCGCCTTGCTGTTCCCAGAGGCCGGCAGACCCCTGGCTGCTTGGAGGGGCCCCGGCTGCAGCCTCAGCCTGCTGCTCCTCCTGCTGCGGCTGCTGCTGCTGCTGCTGCTGCTCCTGCTGCTGCTGCTGCTGCTGCTGCTGCTGCTGCTGCTGCTGCTGCTCTTGCTGCTGCTGCGGCTGCTGCTGCTGCTGCTGCTGCTGCTGCTGCTGCTGCTGCTGCTGCTGGAGCACCGGCGCACGACGACCCTCATCCCGCCCCGCCGCCAGCGCCGCCGCCGCACGTGCCTCTGCGAGCTGCCGCCTCGCGGCCGCAAGCGCCTGCTGCGCGCCGGCCACCTTGCGCTGCAGCCGCTGCTTCTGCGCCTCAAGGCCCTGCACCTCGCGGCGCCGCGCGTCTGCCTCCCATCGCTCCTGCTGCAGCTGCTGCGCCTGCCGTGTATCAGCCAGCTCCTGCCCCTGCCCGCCAGGCCGCTCCCCAACGCTCGCCCCGCCGCCGGCGGCCGCCGCAGCCGCCGCCGCCTCGGCCGCAGCCGCCCGCTCCAGCGCCGCGGCCGCCGCGAGGCGCTGCTCGGACAGGGCGGACTCCGCGTGCTGCAGAGCGCCCACCAGCGCCTCCCTCTCGTCAGCCTCAGCCTGCAGCTGTTCCTGGAGCTCGGCCACCCACTCCTGCAGCCCCGCCGACGCCCGGCCCTCGTCCGATAACTGCCGCGCCGCGGCCGCGTCGGCGCTTGCAGCCGCCGCGGCCGAGGCCGAGGCAGCCGCCTGCTGGCGCAGCCGCGCGGCCTTCGCCCGTTCGCCTTCCAGCTGCTGGCGCAGGGCGGCCAGCTGCTCGGCGACCTCCGTGTTGACCGCCTCCATCCGCTGGTCCGCCTCCGCTTTTGCCGCGCGCAGCAGCAGCTCGCGCTCACCTGCGGCCCGCAGCTCAGCCTCGCACTCCTCCACGCGCCTGGAGAGCTGCTGCAGCAGGCGCCGCTGCTCCTCCTCTTGCGCCTGTTGCTGGCTGTCCCGCTGCTGCTGCAGCTCCTGCAGGCGCCGCCGCGCCGATGCCGCCTGCTCCTGGGCGGCCGCCAGCCGCTGCTCCTGCTCCTGCAGCCGCAGCTGCTGCGCGGCTGCCTGCTCCTGCGCGGCGGCCAGCTGCTGCTCCTTGGCGCGCAGGCGGTCGCGCAGGCGGTCGCCTTTGGACGTGGCCTGGCGCAGCTGCTGAGCGGCGGCGTCGGCGCGATTGCGAGCCGCCTCGCCGTCAGCCTGGAGTGACTGGGGCATCAGAGGGGCACGGGTTTGCACGGTAGTGGTTATGTGGTGCGATAATCTGCGGCAGTTGTGCTGCAGAATATTCATGCGCTACAGCCGTCAATTATTGTGAGGGGCTTTCCTTGTCAGTATTTGTGCTGCACTACACTAAAATTGCCCCGCGCACCTGGACCCGGGCGCTGAGGTCCTGGCATCGCTCCTCGGCCAGCTGCCGCCGCGCCTCCGCCGCCACCAGCCGCACCTGCAGCGCCGCCTCGGCCGCCGCGGCCGCCACCGCGCCGCCCCCGCCGCCGCCGCCATCCATCCCGAGCTGCCGCTGCTGCTCTGCCGCTGCCGCTGCTGGCACCATCGCGCCTTGCGTCACGTGGTGGTCGTGGATCGGCAGCCCTGACGAGCCGCTCAGGCCGAGCACGGCCGCGGCGGCGTGCGGGTGCTGCTGGCGCAGCGACAGGAGCTGCGACTGCAGCTGCTGAAGCTGGTGGTCTGCGCGGCCCGCGGTGCGTGTCAGCAGGTCGAGCTCGCGCTCAGCCGCCTGGCATAGGAGGTGGGTACGCGGGTTGGGAGGTGTCAGAAATGCGAAATTTATCAAGTAGATTGATTGACCGTGTGGATGCTGCGTCCCTTCGCCTGAATGTTGAGCAACCCCCAGAAATCGGCGCTGCTGCGTTGTGACTGTCGACGCGCCGTGCGTTTGTGCAGCTGCAGCACGCGCTGCGGATGCTGCTTTACCCAAAGCAACTGCCCCCGCGCGCCTGCAGTTGGACCTTGAGCTCCTCCAGGCGCGACTCCTCAACTTCCGCCGCGCGCCGCGCCGCGCCCTCGCGCACCTGTGTGAGGCAACAGCGACCAGGGCGCGTGAGCATGCCATTTGCACCGATTGGGGCGCCCGAGCACGCCTTGAGCTCTGGTCTGGGCGCGTTAGCACGCCCGGCGCTCATCCTCTTTACCAGCAGCCTGGAAATATGTCCCCGGCCGCCGCAACGCGCAGGCTCATGCAGCTGGCACGTGATACCATGGCCCAGCACCGGTGGGCTTCGTCACGTTTGATCAGGGGTAGCGGGCATGCTGCGGCCACACCTGGAGGTCCTGCAGCGCAGCGCGCAGCTGCTCCAGCGCGGCCCCCTCCCTGGCGGCCGCCTCGCCTGTCTCTGCGAGCTTCAGCTCAGCTGCCTGCAGCTCCTGGGGAGGGTCGGAAGTGTGTGTGCGTGTGTTTGTGTGTGTGTGTGTGTGTGTGTGTGTGGGTGTGTGCGTGCGTTTGCATGCGTGCGTGCGTTCGTTCGTGCGTGCGTGCGTACGTGTGTCGCTGTGTGCGTGCGTGCGTGCATATTTGCACACGCGTGCATGCATGAGCGTGACAGAGAGGGTGTGGGTGTGACTGGGTGCGTGAATGTGCGGGTTGCGTTTGCCGTCAACACACCGACAAAGAACACAAAACGGGATGCCGGAATGTTCACGACGGCACGCTCGAGAATTACCGAGCTGCAATACGCAAGGCGGGTGACGCTGCTCCGCTCCTGCGGCCCGCCTCAGCGCCCCGCCCCACCCACCTCGTGCACCGAAGCGAGCTCGCGCAGCACGCGCCCGCACTCGTTCCGCGCGTCCTCGGCCTCCGCCACCGCCTCCTCGGCCCCGCTCCGCGCGCTGCGCAGCCCCTCCCGGGCCTCCTCCAGCTGCCGCGCCGCCGCCGCCGAGCCGGCCGCCTGGGCCTCCAGCCGCTGGCGGCCGTCGGCGATCGACGCCTGCAGCTGCGCCAGTCGGTCCTGCGAGGGTTCAATTGGTTGGCACCAGCCCTTCTCGTTCGCGCTCCCGTCGCACCATTCCGTGATCAGAATTTGCGTGCATCGACATGCATGTCCGATGCGCACAGCACGCTGAGCATGGTGAGCACGGCGCATCCATGCGCAACGCGCGTGGAGTGCCGCTGCCGCCACGGAGGCGGGACGCGCGTTTGAAGCAACCAGCGACACGCGACACGCGTGCGCCATCTCCATGCGCCGCCCGCACCTGCGCGGCCGTGGCCTCGCCCTGCACCACACGCAGCGCGTGCTGCGCCTCGCGCAGCTCGTGGCCGCCCGCCTCCCTCTGCCGTGCCAGGTCGGCCAGCTGCGCGCCGGCTTCCTCAGCCTGCAAAGTTTTGGGAGACAAGATACCTGCTTGGCATTCATAAACCACTAGGTGATCACAATTAACGTTGAAATCCAAGGCACCAAGCTGCAACCATGTTCGCGAAACCGGCATCCCTGCTGCAACCATGTTTGCAGATCGGCATAGGACGCAGCGGTGGCTGCGGCTGAATAGGCGGCACAACAAGACTCGGCGCCCGGCAGCAGACCTGTTGCTGCAGAGCTCCCAGGCGCGCCGCCTCCACGCGGGCCGCCTCGGCGTCGCGCCCCAGCGCCTCTGCCTCGGCCGCGCGGCGCTCCTGTCGCAGTGGAGGACAACGGACCAGGCGCAGTTCAGGCGTTCGCTATGCTTGGGGTCCCCGTCCCTCCATGCCGCAGCAACCCAACCCTGCCAATTTGGCTGGGGGCTGCCCTGGAAAGCTGCCACTGCGTTTCAATCGCTCCAAAAAACCCTGCCTGCAGCCCCATCGTGTTGAACCCTAACCCATATACCCTGAACCCAGCCCCCACCTGCAGCTTCTTGAGGTCGGCCTGCGCCGCCTGCCGCTGCTGCGCCAGCTCCGCCAGCGCCGCCTGCGCCTGCTGCGACTGCGCCTTGAGATCCTGCGGGCGGCAAGAGCGCCGGTTGCTTTTGTCCAGCTTCAGAAATCTGATGCAGGGTATACGCAGAGCAGGAGCGCTCTGGAGCCAACGTGAGCCGATAGGCGGACTGATACTGCCAAGAAAGGAGGTGGCTGCTTGCCTTCCAAAGCTCGGCCTGCTAGCAGCAGGCCTCCTGGCCCTGGCCGCCTGCACAAACACACACACCTGCAGGCGGGCCTGCTCTGCCGCTGCCGCTTCAACCTGCCGCGCCGCCTCGGCCCTTGACGCCTCCGCGTCGCGCCCCGCACTGCTCGCGGCAGACTATTGTAGGCGAGGAGTGGCGGGATGCGCGGCGCATCTGTTGCTGTTGTTGCAAGCCGAAGTGCCGCGACAAGCAGCAAGTCTTCAGACCTGAATCTTTCAGGCCCGACGAACGTTGCTGCAAGGAATCCCCGTTCCCACCCATGTTTCAGGCTCAACCCTTTTCCTAGTCGACCAGGAATCCACACGCACAAACAAGCATACTCCACCTACACCACCCTCAGCTAAAAGTGCCACCCCGCCCCACCCCACTCCACACGACACCACACCTCCCTACACCACACCACCCCGCCCTGCCCTCGCCCACGCACACACCC